AGCAACCCATCTGCAGCCAGGCTTAATGGGGCTGCCATTAGCACTAACGCAGCGCAAACACTCGGCATCTGCCAGCGCCTTCGGGTGGGGACACAAAAATAACCGCGCTCGCCGTGATCAGTCATTGACTCTGGCGTGAGGTTAGGACGGGACATGCCAGGAGAGCAGGGGAGAGCTGCAGCCAGGAGGAACAAACTGCTTGCTGGGAAGGGAGGAGAGGAAGATCTGGGGATGCTCTGCTGCTGCCTTCCCCACCCGCTGCCTGTACCAGCAATGACAACAAGCCGGGGGCAGCAGCAGAGCCGGTGTCATCAGTGCTGGCACATGGGTCTGACCATGCCCTGACATTTCATGGACAAAGGATGGCAAAAGGAGGTTCAACCTTGGCAGTGAGAGCCATTTATGCAGCCTCACAGTCCGTCTACTCTGCCTGAGAGCCTGGGCTGATGCAGGCAGGGCTGATGCAGGCAGGGCTGATGCAGGCAGGGCTGCCTGCTTCAGGGGAGTGATTGCCCAGCACCCCAGGTGCTGTGCACAGAGCCTGGCCAGTCCATCAAGTGTCCCAGCCGGGTCTGGGCTGTCCTGATAAAGCTGCGGGAGCTCTGCGGTGACACATCGCTGCACATTGTTTCTGGGTGACTCGCTCCTAATTACCTTGATTAAGTGGTTGCAAACAGTGCTATTAAAAATATTTATTTTTTTTCCTACAAAAGTGGATTTCTGAAAGGTTTGTGCTGTGAATGGCAAAATGAGCCAAGGGCTCCCCAGTGCTGCAGCTTTTCCCAGCATGTTTGTATCCCGACTGCTGTCCCACTGGCAGCTGGGTGTGGATGGAGAGGGAGTTCCTTGGGACTGATGAGGTGCCCTTGCTTCAGCTCTGCCTGCCCTGCTCGTGACCCAGCCTCAGGACACCCACCCACCACAGGGTGCATGCAGACACTCCAGTGTCCCTGGGGTGACCATGGCCAAATTTCAGGTGCTGCTCAGTGTTCAGTGACCCTGTGGCTCCTGACTCTGGAGGACACACAAGATCAGAGCAGCATGAGGGATGGAGATGAGAGCCCATGGGAGATGCCTGTGGGCCTCCAGCACTGCTTCCAGCCCTGAGCCCACAACTAGGGTGCTAGTGAAGCACCAGAGTTGACATCAGTTTGTGCCCACACTAAACCTCGTTATCCTCCTAATGTCTCCTCCACTGGCCTCCTGGAAAGAGGCAACAGTAATTCAGCAGCGCTCACGTGCAGTAATGTCTCTGTGACCATCAATGCTGATGACAGCTGTCTGCTGGACAGGAGGGCCAGTGGGGATACCTCACCTCTCCTTGGTGAGGCTGCTTCTGCTAATGACAGGAAGGTCCCTGTGAGCTCAGCCTTCCTGGGTACCTATGGGACACATCTCCTAGGGGATGTGAGGCAGCCACGTGGCAGAAGAAAGCCAAGCAGCTCCACACCTGGTCCTCTCTTCTGCTTCTCCTGCCTCTTCCTGGTCGGCAGGAGGGTCTGCAGGAGAGGGATGTAGCTCCAGGTCCTCACTTCCTCTCCTCCCTGACAGGACCATGGTTGCAGACAGAGAAATACCCCTCCAAAACACACCAGCATGGCCCAGCAGTGGGGCTGTCCTGAGGGTCTCCCCTCGGAGATTACAGGGGGTTCCCTGGGGCAAGGCAGGATCTGGCCTGACCCAGAGGAAGGGCTTGGGTGGCTCAGGATTATTTTTTATTGTCGGCTCTATTTGCACTGGAAGGAAAACAATCTTTCCTTCCTTTTGCATTATTGTTATAATTTGAAAGCATTTCCAGACATAATCCTTCATGTACCCGCTGAGCGCTATCACTGCCAGAATTACAAAGTCAAATGCAATCATTAAACCTGCATTTTCCCTCTCCCAGCCCAGATTGCTCCTTCCCTAAGAAGCAGCCCTTGCCACAACTGCTGGCAGGTGCCACGGAGGAGCCACTGGTGCTGTCACCCCACGCGAGACCCCGCTCAGCACCAAACCCGCTGACTTCTGGAGACGGCAGGGGGGAAAGAGACTCCCCAGCTCCCAAACACTCAGCGTTGAGATGCCAGATCGACCTTCACCTCCTGCCTTCTCCTTATGGTGTGTGCAGGCAGAGGCGAGGCTGGAAATGAGCTCCAAATTGCTTCATTTGCTCTCGTTAGTGCTGGCAGGAGGCAGCAGCGGGGCCACCTGCGTGCCAAGCAGCACGGCCTGTGGTGGCTCGTGAAGGAGCTGAGAGAGGGGCAAGGAGGGAAAGAATTCCCAAGGGACAAGAGCAGGGACGGGACCAGAAGCTGATTCAGGCCACAAAAATTATCAAAGGGCTGGAGCACCTCTCCTATGGAGACAGGCTGAGGAAACTGGGGTTGTTCAGTATGAAGAAGAGAAGGCTCTGGGGAGGCTTTAGGGCACCTTTCAGCACCTAGAAGGGGCTTAGGAGAAAGATGGAGACAAACTTTTTTTCAGGTCTGTAGCTATAGGACAAGGGGTAACAGTTTCAAACTGAAAGAGGTTAGAGTTAGATTAGATACTAGGAAGAAATCTTTCCTGTTGAGGGTGCTGAAACACTGGCCCAGGTTGCTCAGAGAGGTGGTAGATGTCCCATCCCTGGAAACATTCAAGGTCAGGTTGGACGGGGCTGTGACAGACCTGAACTGGTTGAAAATATTCCTGCTCACTGCAGGGGGTGGGACTAAATGGCCTTTAAAGGTTCCTTCCAACCCAAACCACTCTATGATGATGTAATTTCTGTGCCAGGAGTTATCCCAGAGGCTGGTGCATCTGCAGAGCTCAGTGTCCGAGAGGGAAGGGGTTGGGAGCGGTTGGGGCACATGTGGAGCCTTACCCGGATGTTGTCCTGCCAGTGATGAGCCTTCTGGAACTTCTCAGCTGCGTTGGCAAGCCTCTGCAAAGCAAGCAGGAGAGGAGAAGTGAGCCTGGGGAAAGAAAGAGGTGCTGGGCATGGCCCACATCAACCCGGCGCCAGCTATGAGCAGCTGCAGCAGGTGGCTGCCGGGCTGAGCTGCCTGCCCAGATCTCACCCAAGGCTGGGGCAAGCATAACCTTCTCCCACAACCTTCTCCCACAGCCTTCTCCCACCAGAGAATGTGAGGCTTCAAAGGAGACATAAGTGTGTCCACCCTGATGGCTCTGGAGGCAGCAAGCTGTACAGGCAGGCTGCTGCCCACACTGGGGTAGCCAGAGGAATGCAAGCTTGCCAGAAGCAAGATGAGGTGATGCTCAGTGCTGGGCTGGCTTTACTGGGCTTGGGCTCAGCCATGAGAGGCCTCAACTTATGGAAGGTGCAGCAGGGCAGGGCTGGAGACTGGGTTGTCCCTGGGGTGCTGGCAGTGCTAGGAAGAAGCCTTTAATGGAGCCAAAGGGGACAGAGAGGATAAAAACTTCAGGCTTTCCAATGGAACTGCTCTACATTGCTAAGCAACTAAAGCCAAGAGCTCTGCTCCATGCTCTGCTGCATGCTCTGCTCCATGCAAGCTATGCCAGCAGCCAGAGTGTGGGCAGAAGGGCAACCCTGGCCACTTCCAGCCCCCAAATTGGCAGGGAGGAGAAGGAAGGGGCAAAGGCAGTGCAGAGCATCCATGAGTCCATCTCAGCACGCAGCATTCCTGGCACCACCTGGGACAGCACACACTTGGCATCACCAGGCTCCTGCAGTCCCTGTCTAATGCCCAGCCCTGCTGTGGCCAGCAGATGAGGAGACCCGACAGGACTGTGGTCATCTAACAGTGACAGAAAGGCACAGGACTTTAACAGAGGCAATGAGAGCCATCTTAGCCACTGTAAGCTCCTAAAAAAACCCACGTCACCCCCTGCGGAGCACTGCAGAGATGCACGAGACTCCCAGTGCTACTGCATGCCCAGGCTTCACACTGTGAACCACAAAGTCCAGAATGAAACAGTAAAACTCCTTGGATCAGCAAAGGGATCCCAGCAGGGTGGCAGACAAGTCCAGCTGCATCTCTGTGAATTTATCTCCCCAGTGCCTGGATACAAGAGCACACAAACATGAGGCAATGAACTCCAGAGAGGCGAGCAGGAGCCCTGGGCACAGCCACAGCCACTGTCCCTGCTGTAACCAGCTCCTCTGGCACTCCCAGCAGCACACCAGGATGCAAAACTCCTAATGTAAGCAGATGCTTGGGGGGAAGGGAGCCCCAAGATGTGACAATGTCTCATCTGCTTGTCTCCAGTGCCTGCAGGAGAGCAGCAGAACCACCCCTGGCAGCACCCAGGCCTGGCAGTGTGGTGGGAGCAGGGCCACGACAACGGGTGCTGTATTATGGGGACTGCAGCAAAGTGCAGGTACTCAAAAGTAAGTTGATGAGTGGTGAAAGATTTCATCAATCTGGCCCTCCCCAGCTGGAGAAGGCAGCTTGTTCTTATCAGATGCAGGGAAACGCGTATCCATCACCGCATAATCTCAGTGTGTCCTGGTTGAAACTCCTGTTTAATCTTTTCTCTTTTTTTAAAATCTTGATTACCAAATGAAAGCGCCTGCTTTCAACAGCAGCATCCGAGGGGAAAGAGCAGCTATCAGCTGGGCACTGAAGCAAAACACCTATGGCTCTGGTGGGGGAGAGAAGAGCATGGGAGACAAGGTGGGGCTGGACAGAAAAGCCCAGTAGCGTTAATTTCCAGGGCAGTTTGTGGGGGGCTCATCTGCCCACGGCCCTGCCTCCCTGGAGTCACCTGGAAAAGTGATGTCCCCATTTCTGCACCTCATTCCCCCAAGCTTTTGTGCTCTGTTTATACATCGAGATGGCTGATTAAAAGTGAGCATTTATTCCGAGTCACATTTAAGGCAGTGGTGATGAAATATGCATTTTTCTGTACTTGATAAGAACGTGTTTGTTTATTACGGGCCGGGGCAAGATTTATGGGCATCTTTGACTATTCATTGCCTGATGCAAAGGGCCTGGAGGGCTGCAAATGGTGCAGCAGGGGATGGCTACGCCCAGGAACGACACTTTGACAGAAGATATTTTTCCTCTGGAAAATGTCAATTCGTCAAAGTCTATCTGGACACAACTTTGTTGTTTTTTTAAAAAAAATAAATCCAGATGTTCTTGTTTGATAAACAGCACGTTGCAGGGATGAGGGAGCCCACGGCGGGAGGGCAGAGCCATTGCAGAGTGCTGTGCTGGATCCCAGCTTCTGGCAGGCCCCCCCTCCCAGGAGAAGTGCCCCAGAGCCTCCCAGCTGTGACTTCTGCAGCATTTTTCTTGCTGAAGACATTTTGATGACAGTGATGAGATGGGGAATGGGAGGAGAGAGGGACCAAGAGGGGAGCCACCCTCCTCTGCAACAGGGAATCCTCTGCCTGTCTCCTTCCCTGCTAGGGGACATGATGGAGCAATGCCATGTTGGGGGCTCCCATGGGAGTAGCCCCATCCCATTCCTGGCTAGTGCTAGAGGCAAGTCCTGGCCAGACCCTGCCTGGGGATGTGCTGCTGGTGGGAACAGGATGGGCAATTGCTGGATTTGGGATCCTCCAAAACCATAGCAATGAGGACAGAGCTCCCGAGGAAGTTATTTGGGACAGCTTTGCTCACAAGCAGAACCTGGAATTGTGTGCTTCTCCAGCAACCCCCCCAGCCACATCTCCCAGGGGAAGGCAACGGGTCTGCCCAGAGCCACACACTGCTGCGGGACGTCCCCATGAATGCCAAATGAGTTAATAATGACTAATGTTATTGTGATCAATGCAGGTCAAGGATTATTTCTAATCCTCAATAACGACTAAACCATTATTTTTCAAGTGTTACAGATCAATCAGCCCATCTCAAGGTGCACTGTATGCAAGGACTGCGAGATGCCTCAGGCAGGGCTCCTGTGCCCATACGTGGCAGCCACCAAAACCTCTTGGGGGCTTTGGACCTGATATTGTCAATTGTGTGGTTCTAACAGCAAGAAAAATTAGAGAAATTACCAAAAATAAAGCTTGTGTATGAAATACCTGCAGATTTCCAGCAGCCTCTAGTCCAGTGCCTTGCTAAACCTCTTTTCCCAGCCCCCACATGGCAATAAGTATGCCCTGGCTGTTCCCACCTCAGTCACATCACTGGGTTTAACCTGAGAGGCAGCAGAGCAGGGACCAGAGCAGCACAGGGAGACCAAAGGCCAAGGCTGGATTTATAGAACAGGATTATGGCAAACACCCTGCAAGAGGAGACTGAGCAGCCCTGTGTAACTGCAGAAACACTGCCCCTGTGTCCCAATTGTTCCCATAAAAATAAAGCACCCCACACCTGTGCTGATGCTGGGGGATGCTGGGTCCACCCACCTTGCCAGCCCAGCCCTCCCTGCCAGAGTGAGAAAGAACAGGTGAAAGGTACAGGCAAAGAGGTGAAAAACATGATGAAGCCAAGCAACCCAAACCCCAGGAAGGAACATCCACTGGGAGCTGGTTTTGCAGCTCTTCCTCCTTCTGGATGGACAAATGAGGATAGCTCAAGTCCTCTCCTCTGGCACCAACATCTCCTATGGATGGGAAACCTCAAAATTGAGCATCTGGGAAGGTGAAAGCCGATTCCACATGCTTCATGCACCTCTATCTTGCTCTGCCTGTGTGCAGCAGAGCAGAGGGCACCCCACTGTGCCACAATCCCAGGTTCTGCCAGCAGCCCCAGGTTGCTCCAGCCTTCGCTCTCCCTCTCATCCCCAGCCTGTCCTCTCCCTGTGCACCAAACTCCCTGCACATACAGCCCTAAGCAAACCCTGTTGGGACAGTGCACACACTGCCACCAAAAAATGATCAACCAGTGACAAAAAATGACAACCCCTCCTATACACACAGGGAGTATAAACCTTGCAATAAACACCGTAAGGCAGTGAAGCATCTAATCCTGTAAGAATCGCCAAGACAGTTGATCCCAGGGCTCTTATTACCCCCTCAGCCAGCATCTCAAATCCAGTCTGTGACAGGCTCAGCCACAGCTGAGTATTGATCCAGGAGGCAGCTTCAAACCTGCTGCAGCGTTTTTCTTTTGGAGCACTAACCTGTTTGTCAATAAATCCCTCAGCTGTAAGGAGGGAAAGGGGTGGCCTGACCTGTCTCTCCTCCTCTGGTGCCCAGATCCAGCCCGTCCTGGGCGGAGGATGGAGCTGGGGCTAGAATTGTCTACTAACGCTCTCCTGTCTGTGGGAGGGCAAATAGAGCCCCAGAGGATATTAAAAAGCAGGTGGTAAATCCTCTGAAGGCTTTCAGCCACTGATGTTGTACCAGCTGGTGCTCCCTGCTGGGGTCTGGCAGGGCAGTGAGTGGGGGACACAATGGCAGAGCCAACCCTGCCAGCAGCAAGCGTTACAAGCACCAACCTAGAGAAAAAACAGAGCCCAAGCTGCTGCAGACCCCACGTGGGGAAGTGGCATGGCCAGCACCCTGTGAGCCTGGGGTATGTCCCAAAGTCACAACTTTGATAATTTCACTGACAACCTCAGTAACTTCCAGCTCTGCAGGCCAGCAGTACATGGCTCTTGTTCCCCTGCCAGCAGCTCTCTCTGCTCCTCCTCTTCCAGAGCCACAATTTTTGCAGTAAGAAACACCACCACCAGTCATAACCACAAGGAGTGAACATCCCAAGTGGATGGGTACCATGTTTTTGCTGAGGGGGAGAAGGAAAGGGAGGGCATTGCTGCCTGGGTGGTTTCTCCTATCCCAAAGTATTCCTCACTCCTGCCACTTGGGCAGGAGGAGGAGGAATTTGCCTAGCCAGGTCTTAGCAGCCACTGTCCCCAGTGAAAAATAAAAAGTCCTTCTTTATTCTTATCCTTCCTTATTTTTAAGAAGTAAGTCCCATGTTAAGATGTCGAGAGGTTCAAGGAGTGGCTTCTCCTCCCCTGACACTGCTCCACATGGTACCAACAACAGAGAAGCAGCTGTGA